AACAATATTTAGAAAATAAAAAACAATTAGGTATTTAGTGACAAATTATACGCAACACCTAAGTTCTAATTATCATCAGTATTATAATTTGTAATTTATACTTTTGTCGCTATGTGTCACGATCGATTTATTTTGAAATTCGTTATTTTTTTATTTCGTTATTATCGATTCGCGAGTTTTACATTCACGATTATTTTTTTCGCTATTTTGGCCCAGGCCCCATTTAATGGCTATTTGTTTTGTAAGTTTCAACGGACGGACATACTTCGCACCACGGGTGGGCCACTGTTGTAGATGAAAAGTCGAAAACTTACAGGTTATAGGGTCGAATTTAATTTATATTTGTACGTTACGATAAATCGTTGCTTAAAAAAAAAAGACAATTCCGTGCGGAGCTCGGTCAGTAGTATTGTTTTTTCAATAATGCGAGTTTTCCTGACAACGACTATTGTTTAAAAAGGACTAAGTAAAAGATTAAAATATCAAAAACTTAATAATAACAAAAAAGAAATAAAAGCGGATGCCAATGACAACCTTATTTTTAATCTATTTATCTTTTTTAACCTAAGGAACCAGTTTTTCATTGTTACCTCGAACATTAATGAGAATATCAAAAAATTATTTTTCTAAATACCAACTAGAGTCAAAATGCAACAAAAAAAGTCACCTATCATATTTTGATTGAGGCAAGATTTATAGAAGAAAAGTCGTTTACAGACAGAAAAAAAAAACAACACATTGTAAAATCAATAAATCCATCGCTTCACTCGAAATTTAAAACTTCCTTAGATTGTCATATTGAACGTTTTAAATAACCTTTGGACACCTGAAATTAAGTTGTGTTTTCCAATAAAAACATACATTTGTGGAAAGTAAAAGAATCTTAAATTTCAATATACTTAATTGATGCGATTTTCGTAGTTGGCATAATCAGCTGTAGAAAATGGTGCATTTTGGTGCAATTTTAGATAGCATATTCAAAAAATTAACTTAAAAAATATACTTAAGTTACAGATTTGTGTATATAATGGGAACCACGATTAACGATATATTTGTTACACAGCGAGCTATGATGAGAACATACAATTTGGTTCCCGAAGTGTATTCGATAAATTATTGATGAGAAAAGACAACTAGCTCTCAAAACTGACTAAGATATCTTAGGATTCGTGATTATCACTATTGATTTACCGTCATTGCATCGCACAGATATAAAATACTAGGTAGTTAACTAACGTTCTAATTTGAAGCCAGTCGCCATATGCGTGGTGGAGAATATTTACAAAATTTTCTTATCAATACTGCCTGATAATATCACAAAAGTGTGATATAAAATTGAATACAAGTAATCAGTACATATTTTTTAAAGTTATACTGAACCACAGAATTATAATGCAATGTTACTAAACGTATTAATGTATTATAAGATTTAAAATGCATTTTATTTATATTATTGAAGCTTACCTGAAAAATTGTATACTAGAACCCGCTCGAGTACGATTTTTGCAGCCGTGTGAAGAGCAACTAAAAAGCATTATAAATTAGATAAATCTACAAAATAATTTAATAAGGTAATTGGTGAGTAGGTAAGTGGTGTTGTGTCGGAAATTTAAATGCATTATACTCGTGTGATAAAATGATAATAACAACCATTGAAAAATGTAAACATTGCCCACCGAGCATTTGGCGACTGGCTTCAACTTCAACGTTGGTGTATAACAAGTTACCTATCTAGTATTCGTGCCTTTTATTTGACCCAAGAACCAATTCCGTAATAACCGTCATTATATGGAACAAAATACAAACTTAGTGATAATGACTTGCAATAATTTAAAACAAACTGAAATAAATATTTATGAAATTTGTTTGTATTATCAACAAAAAAAAAAAAAAAAAAAGATTGTTTTAAATGTAACGAGCATTCAATTGCCTGTGTATTTTTCGTGTATCGATGTAGGTTAGTTAGCAAGTATGTAGCAATATTAATAATAAAATAATATTATAAATTTTAGTGGTGCCTCTATATTGTATTATGTAAACTGGGCATAAAATTCTTAATAGGTAATTATTTATTGTAATTTACCCGACAATCATCTACACACAAACGTGACTTTTAATATAAATAATCTTTGGGCGATCCCTCGGGGTCAAAATCGTCATTTTCCAGACGATTATGATTTGTGATTCCGTTGCGAACCGTTTTTTGACAGACGATCGTTAAAAGCGTTATTTTCAAACGGCGAGTGCGTAAACATACTGTAATATTCTCAACGGTCGGACATAAAAATATGATACCGATGCGTCGAATGCCGAAAAAATGTAATCAATTTATGGTGTATAATATTATTGTGTAGAGCATTAAACGAAAAAATCACAATTATATACCGCTAATGTATGCAGTCTTCTTTCTATTATTTTTCTTACAAAAAATAACCGATTAAAATTACGCGTGTACAATACAATTACCGTACACTTTTACCGCTAAAACAAAATCGTAAATCCATAATACATAACATAATATAATATGCAAATTTAAAAGGTCACAAAGGTTTAAATATTATATACAATCGTTTTTATGGGAATATTTTAGTGGCAATAAAATTACTACATTTGCTGACCTGACTTAACCAAACATATTAAAAAAAATACACGCAAGCACGTTTAATTTATGGAGGACCTATTAACAGTATACTTTACTATTACCTACTTATATTACAATATTATTGCTATACCCGAACCCGAAACAGACAGCATATTCAGAAGAGGATTCGATAAAATACGTTTAATTATTATGTTGTTATTATTAATATATTTTTTTTATTTTTTTTTTTTCGAGCGGTGGCGATAAAAATATACTTGCAATATTAATTTATACTTTGGGAATATGGAAAAAAAATATGCATTAGACAAATGTCCACTGTTTCGATAAAATACGTTTAATTATTATGTTGTTATTATTAATATATTTTTTTTATTTTTTTTTTTTTTTTATTCGTGTCAGTGAAAATGATGTGAATTATTTTTACCCCAGCAGTTTATCACCAGTAATGACCGGAAATGTGGGAATAATTATTATAATATTATGATACAGAAAAACCGGTCAAGTGCCATCAAGGAGCACTATATTTTCGACTCGATGAGATTATAATGTGCCACGAAATATTCATCCGTATAAAAAATATTGTATAAAAAGGACGGACATACTTCGCACGTGGGTGCAGCCACTTTTGTTAGTGGAAAGTCGGGAAGGTAAGATACAGACGGGCATTTAATGTACTAAGCAACGATAAAACATTGTTAACGAAAATCCGATTCTAAGCGCAGTTCAGTTGATTTTGTTACTTTGTTAATAATGTATATATCTTATTATGGTAAAATGACTATGTGCGTTTTCATGACAACGATGATTGTTTAAAAAAGATTTAAAAGAATAAAAACTTAATAATATCAAAATCTAAATAAAAACGGTTGCCAATGACAACCTTATTTTTAATTTTTCAATTTTTTTTAACCTAAAGAACCAGGTTTTTCTCGTTATCTCAAATATTTATCAGAATTTTTAAAAAAATGACCTTCTTTAAAGTACCACCTAAAGATCATTTCCTTTAAGAAAAATTGCCATACTTGATAATCGGAGTAAGCTTTCTGGTAGAAAAAGTGTTTACATGAAAAAAAAAAAAATAATAAACATCTTTGTAAAACATTCCTCGCTCCACACAGAATCTAATAATATAGAACTATTAATATTGCATTCTTAAAGACCTTTTTAACGGTATCCCGAACGATAGGCCGAGTAAAAATTAATATTTTCGTCCCTCGGTTTTGTGTATTGATAGTACGAATACAACGAACTTGGAGTAGTCTGCACTATCGCCGTCAAAAAAAATAAAAATATTACCCGATTTGTGTACAATAAATACAATATCAATCACTTCGAAATTGTATACAATTTTATTAATTATTATTGCCTATTAGTATAGAATTTATAATTATAGTATTTACTTAAATTATCAAATTGTCCTTGCACATTTATCGGGCAAAGCTGCGTAGATAATTGATAAGTGCACGTAAACGTCACAATCTCTTTAACCAGTGAAATGCATACTCAGTGGAAAAGAGATGAAGCAATTTTAAGTGTACTGTCATAAAACGGCGATTCTAAAAGGTCTAAAATATTCCATCAACCAAAAATAGAAGTAAGATTTACCCCGGGTCCTACTGTCGTAGAGTAAAAATTTCTCATTAACTCCTTGATTTGGCGAACAAATAGTATAATTAGGTGTAAGATTTTGGAATTTTTGAAAAAATTAAATGATTTTTGTACTGTTCTCGTCGATACGTCAAATAATATAAACACGAAAAATGGCTTCCTTGGCCTAAACGCTAGCATACCACCGGGTAAAATTATCCGAGCTTAATGCTGCAGCTGTAATACAAAATACGAACACACTGTATGTATAATATTTATACTATTTTTTAAATATTTAACAGGTGTAATACCCACTTGCTAGAACATAATATCATGCGAATTAATAATAAATAATAAATACTGTGACCGGAAGCACGATGTCCATGACATGTTGCAAATTTTCCAATATTAATGTGCATACTTAGAATCCAATTATGAAACAAACAAAAACCGCATTAATATAAAAGACGCATTGCGTCCGTAAAGGACACTGCGACTTATGATTGTCAGGTACAATAAAAACGCGAGTAACTACTATTAAAGTGAAAAACGACTTTTCGTATTATCGAATATTATTGTTGATAAAACGGTGGCGATATAAAAATTGTTCATATAATAATTCGAAATATTTTTTTCAAGGTCGAACAACTATATATTATACTATGATTCGTAATTTGTGTTTTGTATACATATTTTTTTATACGTTTGTGTCGTGCGTTCAATCATTATATTATGTATTATTATTTTTTTTTTATGTTCTTAAAAGAATTGTACTATTTTGCGTTCATAGCTAATAATCTTTTAATATTTGAACCGAAGTCGCGATAGTCTCGTTTATTTTTTCGAGTGTAAATGATTGTGCGGTTACAAAAAGAAATACATATATTTGTGTCCATTTCAGAATCTGGGTGGACCGAAGGAGTTTATGGTTATACAATGATGTACATTTTTTAATTTTTTTTTTTTGTGGACATTTTTACTTCCAAAAATCTTGCTCCTATTTACAGATGTAGCATTTTTTCTGAATGGAAATCACGGATAGGGGAAATATTAGATAACTTTTCGATTTTCCCAGGAGTTATTCCATTATTTGGGAAAGATCGGAAAAAATATGGGAAAATCGGGAAAAACTTTGGTAAAACGGGAAAATAGGTACAATATTAAATAAATATTATTAAAGAAAATAAAGAACGGATAAGTAATTATTTTACCATAATACGACATATATATTGTTGACAAAGCAACACTGTCAACGGAAATCTGCCCAGAATCGTTTTTCCGTTAGCAATGGTTTATTGTTGCTTACGGATATACATTAAATTTCCCCTCTATCACCCTTCCAACTTCTCATCTAATGCAATGACTGAACCCGTATTTATTATCCTAGGACAGCTTTGTTTTGTTGATTTAATTTGTCATTTAACATTCTCATGTGTACATAATATAATGTTGAATTAAATCATTTTGTCTAACAATTACACTCTCGTCACGGCACAGCCAACGGAACTTGGAGGTGACCAATTCTATATTGATATGTCCGGACTTCAATAAATATAATATTATTAATGTTAATTATGTGCGCCTTCCTATTTATGTGTGCCTATAACGTACACCGATAAAATAATAATTAATCAATTGTTATAGGTTCACAGTTTTCGGATGTTTGGTATAACTCTGTAAAACGTAAAGTGTCGGGCAACTTCGCACGTGGGTGGGCCATTAATGTAGATGAGAAGTCGGGAAGGTTGTAGAGGGAAAATCGAATGTATATCTGTAAGCAGCTATAAACCATTGCTAACGAAAAAACGATTCTGAGCGGAGTTTAATTGATAGTGTTGCTTTGTTAACAATACATATATATATATATATATATATGTCATATTATGGTAAAATAATTGTATGTAAGCATTAAACGATTTCATTAATAATGATTGTTTAATATTGTATTTATTTTGCCCAACCCCGGTTTTCCGGCGTTTTTCTTGGTTTTTTCCATTTATTAGAAAAACTCCTGAAAAATTTTAAAAACCACTTGCTTAAAGTATCTCCCCAGCGCTTTTCTTCAGAAAAAGTGCTACACTTGGAAATCAAAGTAAATTTTCTGATAGAAACGTTTTCCACAGAAAAAGTTGGTTCTCAATCACCGAATTTGTTCCCGGGTTGTCTACAGGTAATATACGAATGGGTCCCTATGAGCTTTCATAATGATGATAATACTACAATCTTAAATTTACTTTTTTTTATAAATTCTTTTTTTTTCAAATTATTATCTTAAATTCAACCAATCAAAATATCCCTTCCATTTTATTTACCCAATCCCTTTTTATTCATTTCTAAAATGTAATTTTTACATTTTTCAATTTTAACAATGTCATGAGCTTTTTTTACTTCCATCATTCAGCCCATGAATTACTCTTGACCGTTCACTCATCTTTAAGGAGCACATTGAGAAAACAACTAAAAACCTACATTCGCGCATCAACATATTACGGAAGCTTGGTGGCGCGGGCCGAGAAGCAGATGGCAGGAATCTGAGAACATCAACGTTGGCTTTAGTATACAGCACAACATAGTGCCGGATCTGGTGTAAAAGCTCACATAAAAAAAACATAGACACCTAGCTTAATAGCACAATGCAGATAATAAGTGGAACAGTAAAAAATCACACCGACCAGTCTTAACTAATATCCTGCCACCGTCTTTGTGCAGAAGAGAAGCACTGCTTAGAACAACTAACAATACGAAAAGATGAAAAAGTGTCCTTTTATACCAAATTCTGAGAAAAACATCCAACCTCGGATTTAAATCAAAAAAAAACCCATGGAACACAGCTAAGGAGCTGGCACTGTCAAGCTTTGGGGTACAAAAAAAAAATGGCGTGAAAACTCGCCATTAAAAGATGTAATAGACAGTTGTCTAATGTCTGACCCGAATAATGGTGAAGAGGGTATGAATTTACCACGAGACGTATGGTCCGTAATTAATAGAATCCGTACTGGACACGGCCGGTGTGGTTCCATAATGTGAAAATGGGGTCTTGATAACACTCCTGCGCGTGGCTGTGATTACGACAGCTAATCAATACGCCATATTGTGATAGATTGCCCGAAAAGAAAGTTCAATCGGGGCATTGAAGGAATTCATAAGGCAAATAATAACGCATTGAAATGGATTCAAGAACTGGACATTACCTTATGATCTTGTAAGGTGGATCCTATCTGTAAACCATAACCATGTATCATGTATTATTATAATTATTATTTTATACTTTTATAGCTGACCTTTTATGTTGATTTTTTGAACACCAGTTATATTAAATAAAAAAAAAAAATACAAAATTCTTCCATAATTCTTCCTTATCATGATACTATAATATTATCATTGAAAATTAAATATGACAAAATAGTAACCAGATAGATTCATAGTGGTCTCATACTGAATATCTCGGTGCTCTTAGGGCTTGAATTTTCGTGTAGAATGTCCTCCGTTTCTCTCATATATCTATTATCTATGGTGGCATTACTGCAGCCTTATCAATTCGAGCTAAACAAGATGACAGTGTAGCTACCATGGACTATTATCGTGGTTTATTTATTATCATTGCGTTAATTGTGATAGCAACACTATGAATTAATATTGACTGATACATTTAAAATTGTTCAATTTTGATCGAATTAATCTACATTTATTCGTAGAGAATTATGTAAACTTTTGGAGTCTATCTGATTTCTGTCTTCTTTGTATTCTTTTTCTTAGATGTTATATTTTATGTATGGTTTTTATTTTAAACTAATTAGTACACTCACAACTCTAAAAACTAAAAAGAAATTGCAAATTTAATCTGCCATGTTTATTATAACGTGTATAACGTAGTATTTAATATTTAAAATATAATGTATTTTAAATTCTGAGTGAAGCGAAGAAAGTTTATGGTTTTCCAAAGATGTTTATTTTTATTTCGTTCTGCGGAACAACTTTTCTACCGGAGGACTTGCTCCGATTTTTATAAGGCCTATTTAATTATTTGACTATAATATGGCATATATATTGATGACAAAGCATCACAATCAACTAAACTCAGCTCAGAATCATTCTTTCCTAAGCAATAGTTTATCGTTGATTACAGGTATAGATTAAATTACCTATAACAGTGTCTGCGCCCGTTTTTATTATCCTAGGACGTCATTTTTGTAGTTTGTTTCAAATTGAATTAAATGTATAATAATAATAATAAATAATAGATTCCAATAATTGATAA